CCCTTCCTTAAGTGGCTGAGAGGGAAAAGGAAGGGGCCTGAGGCTGTGAGGAATGGTGGGAGTTAAAGTCCAAAACACCTGGAGGGAGGGCCCAAGATGGCCCTTGCCTCTGCCCTCTTGATACTGGACACTTCAGTTAATCATGGGATCATCTGCATTCCCATGTTGTGATAGTCCAAAACACCCGTGGGTCCCATGCTTGCCCATGCCTGGCCTGTTGTGGTAGTATATTGTTGAAGGCTTTCATGGCTGGAATCACTGGGTTGTTGTAGTTTTTTTTCGGGCTATACGGCCATGTTCTAGAGGCATTTCTCCTGACGTTTTGCCTGCATCTATGGCAAGCCTCACCTCACTACCTCTGAGAATGCTTGCCATAGATGCAGGTGAAACGTCAGGAGAAAATGCCTCTAGATCATGGTCATATAGCCCGAAAAAAACTACAACAACTGTTGTGTTAGTCTTGGTCAGTCCTCTCTACCAATTCTGTGAGTGTCGGGTCTTGCCCTCACGTGTCCTCTCCTGTCTTTTCCCACCGCAGGCCGAGGGAGAGCCCCAAGGCGTGGTTCGGTGGCCGCTGGTGCAGCGCCTGGCCTGGGAGGCCCACCGGACCGTGGCTCTGGCTGCTGGGGATCAGGACCCGGGCCCCGCCCAAGCGGAGGGGCCCCTGCTGCAGAGTGGAGCGGCCAAGCGGCCCCCGAGCAAAACCCGCACTGCCGGCCCCAAGAGGCTCCCGGGGAAAGGCGCCGGCGGGTCCTCCTCCTCGGCCAAGATCTTCTCCTGCAAGACCTGTTCAGCGACCTTCACCGGCCGGGCCGAGATGGAAAGCCACAAGAAGGCCCACGCGGGGCCCGGGACCTTCAAGTGCCCCGACTGCGGCTTCACCGCGGCCGCCTGGCAGGAAGTCCGGGTTGGTGCGCTTTGTCATCTCAGAGGGAAGGCTCTTCTGGGGCGGGGCGTGCGGGGGTGCGTAAGGGTGGATGTCCAAGCCTCCATCCCCAGAGGAAAGGGAGCGGTAGCCCTCCTTCTTGTGGCTTTGGGTCACTCAAGAGGCCACTCTCTCAGCCAGGCTCCAAGGCAGAACCTTTCTCCAAAATACCCTCTGTGCAGAATGAAGGGAAAGGGGCCATTTGGTGATGAATGACTTTTCAATAACTTTTCAATAAGGGAAAAGGTAACTTTGACAGAACAACACTTAGACATACAGACATACAGATTCTGTGTAACTACCGTATATACTCGAGTACAGGCCGACCCGAATATAAGCTGAGGCACCTAATTTTACCACCAAAAAACTGGGAAAAAGTCTTGACTCGAGTATAAGCCGAGGTTGGGAAATGCAGCCGTTACGGGTCAATTTGAAAATGAAAATAGATACCAATAAAATTACATTAATTGAGGCATCAATAACGAGGAGACCCTAATGATACATGTTTTTATTGATTCTGTTATAGTTTTATTATTCAATTGTTTTATTATATTGAATTTGTATTTTATGGCCTTGGTACCAACTTGAAACCATCCAGGATTGCCTACAGGCTGAGAGGGACGGACGGTAAATAAATGCAGTAAATAAATAAATAAATAAATAAATAAATCAGTAGGTTCAATATTTTAGAATATTTACACCAAACTTAAATTTAAGATAAGACTGTCCAACTCTGAATAAAACGTTATTCTAACCTTCTTCAATGTATATGTGCTTATGTGTTCTTCCAATAATGATAGAGTAAAATAATAAATGTAATAAAAATAATAATACGGTGTTCCCTCACTTATCGCGGATGTTCCGTTCCAGGACCACCCGCAACAAGTGAAAATCCGCAAAGTAGGGACACTAAATTAATTTTAATATTTATACATTATTTTAGTATACCTCAGAAAGGGAGGTATACTAAAATAATTAGTATTAATATAAAAATATTAATATTTGCAGAAACCCGCGAAACAGCGAGTCCGCGTAAAACGAACCATGAAGTAGCGAGGGAACACTGTAATAGAGTAAAATAATGATAGGAAATGATTTAGAATGGTTTCTTAACCAAATTAGGCCCCATACATTCCTTGCATTCTGTTCATTCAAACCATACATCATATCCATGTTCATCAAGTTTGCACACTATATTTCTTGTGACAATTTCACCACAGCCGTGGTCCTCTCTGAGCCTAAAGCAGATGGGGAGGGGGGCAACAATGTCCACGTGTGTCCTCTTGCATCAACCCTGGGAATTCCTGAGGACATTTTGGGACAATATTGGGAGACCCTTGGCTCCTTCCTGTGTCCAGCCAGGAAAAGGTCCTTGTATTGTGTGCAACAAGTTGGGAAAATGGAGGAGGTAGCAAGGGGGGGGGGGTCCTGATCCTGTTGGGGTACAAAGTGTAAATGGTTCTGGATTTGGGGAAGGGGGAAGGGGGGGTTCCCGTGCCACTCCTTCCCAGCTCTGAGCCCCCTTTCCTTCCCATATTCCCAGAGCCACATGGTGCAACATGCCAGCCTCCGGCCCCACAAGTGTCCGCACTGCACCTTCGCCTCCAAGAACAAGAAGGACCTGCGCCGGCACATGCTGACCCACACCAATGAGAAGCCCTTCGCCTGCCACCTCTGCAGACAGAGGTGGGTCACCGCCAGAGGAAGGCCTTCATGCTGCAAGGCAAACACAGGCCAACATGTTGTTGTTGTTGTTGTTGTTGTTGTGTGTGTGTTGGAGGAGAATGTGTTAATCTGCACATTAATTCAGCAATTCACAATTCAGCAGCAGATCAGTTGCACAACTTCAGCGCTTTCCAGTAGCTTCTTCCTGCACAGTATTTTCAGTCAACTGCTCCCACAGCCTGCAGCCACACTGGAACCTTTTACAGACACTTGAGCACATGCCCGGCCATTGTCAGTTTTACTATTGTTTTCCCCTCCAATCTAGATGACACTACAAACTTACCACAGCACACGGTTATATCTTGTCTTAGCAGACAGGTTCCTTTAATAAATTACACAGAGCCTTCGGCAAACAGCATCACAGCACAAGGAGAGGGAGAATACACTATACATGACTTCCTTATATACAATTCTGTACATTTACACATAGCAATGTTTGATTGGTTCCCAACTCATTGACTTAACTCAAACCCAGGATTGCATCATTCACGATCACCTGGACTAGGCCAGAACACATTCCCCGAATGATGTTCTATATACAGTTAATGCATGACTCAGCATTTCCAATAGAAGCCTATTAACAGTGCATGACTCAGCTATATTACACTACAATACATTGCAAAACCTGACAGAGAGAAAGAGGGAGCCCTGAGGGTGAGCCTGAACGAAGGGAAACCCCGTTGCACACATTTGGTTTGGGAGTCCAGTAGTCTCTGCATTTGCAGAAGTTAGGGAACAAGGTCCTTGCCAAAGTGGAAAAAACACAAGCTTAAATATTGTTGTTGTTGTGTTTATTATGTTTACACCCGCTTTTTTCCTCCACAAGGGGGAGACTCAAGGCAACTTACATTGAAAGCATTCCAGTACAATTTAAAATATGCAAGCATTCAAACAGATATTAAATATCAATGGTATTTAAACAAATTCACAATTAAAATCCATAAAAACGGAAAATTTCACAAATACGTTTATATTTACCCTGAGTGGACACTGCTCTGATCATCCTCCAATGAGATCCTATGGTCAACGTATTTTATTCAAGTTATGTGAAGGTCAGCAACAAGAACTTGCAGTACATATAGCAATCTATGAATAATTATTGGGACCGCTGTGGTGCAGTGGGTTAAACCCTTCTGCTGACCTGGTTGACAATTCAAATTCATGGGATGGGGCGAGCTCCTGCTGTTAGCCCTAGCTCCTGCCAACCTAGCAGTTAGAAAACATGCAATGTGAGTAGATCAGTAGGTACCGCCTCAGCGGGAAGGCAAACAGGTGCTCCAAGCAGTCATGCCGGCCACACAACCAGGAGGTGCCTACAGACAACTCAGGCTCCTCGGCTTGGAAACGGAGATGGACACCTCCCTCAGAGCCAGAGTTGAGCACCACCTCCAGAAGCCGGAGATGAAAGGAGAAGCCTTTGCCTTTGTGCATTTCTGTCTCATTCTATCAAGGCATTGAATGTTTGCCTGTGTTTGTGATTGTATCTATACTGTCATGCACCCCGAGTCCCCTTGGGGAGATAGTGCATAATATAAATAAAGTGTTGTTGTTGTTGTTGTTGTCGTCGAAGGCTTTCATGGCTGGAATCACTGGGTTGTTGTAGGTTTTCTCGGGCTGTATGGCCATGTTCTAGAGGCATTCTCTCCTGACGTTTCGCCTGCATCTATGGCAAGCATCCTCAGACGTTGTGAGGTCCTCAGAGGTTGTGAGGTCACAAATCCTCAGAGGTTGTGACCTCACAACCTCTGAGGATGCTTGCCATAGATGAAGGCGGAACATCAGGAGAGAATGCCTCTAGAACATGGCCATACAGCCCGAAAAAAAAACTACAACAACCTATTATTATTATTATTATTATTATTATTATTATTATTAGGTTCTTGTGGGTTTTTTCAGGCTATAGGGCCATGTTCTAGAGGCATTCTCTCCTGACATTTCGCCTGCATCCATGGCAAGCATCCTCAGACCCCACTACCTCTGAGGATGCTTGCCATAGATGCAGGTGAAACGTCAGGAGAAATGCCTCTAGAACATGGCCCTATAGCCCGAAAAAAACCCACAAGAACCTAGTGATTCCAGCCATGAAAGCCTTCGACAATACAATATTATTATTATTATTATTATTATTATTATTATTATTAATTGAAACACAACAAGATGAGTCCACAGCAGACACTCTGCTGGCTGTTGTATTGGATCACACATCGGACACTTCCCAAGTGTCTAGGACTGTGTGATGTATCAGTGAATAATGCATGCAGATCCCAGTAAGGTGGCCTTTTGCATCTGGCAGGTGGTAATTTTGTCAGCGCCGATTGGGTTTAAGTGCAGACCAAGGTCTTGAGGCACTGCACCCAGTGTGCCAGTCATCACCGAGACCACCTTGACTGGCTTGTGCCAGAGTCTTTGCAGTTTGATCTTCAAATCCTTGTGTCAGCCTTTCCAGTTGTTCCTCTTCAATCCTGCTGTCACCTGGGATTGCGACATCGACAATCTATACTTTGTTTTTTAATACAATTGTGAGGTCAGGAGTGTTGTGCTCCAGAACTCTGGAAGTCCCAGAGGAGTTTGGCATGTTCATTCTCTGTAACTTTTTTATTATATTTTATTTATTTATCTATCTATCTATTATTATTATTATTATTATTATTATTATTATTATTATTATTATTATTAGATCTGCATCTTGAGCTATGTGAAGAGGCAGGAAATAAAATTCCATTAATGGGTTTGGAAATCTTTTCAGTACTCTAAAGCAGGAATGGGCCAACTTTGGCCTTCAATCCAGCCAGTAGGCTGTTAGGAACTGTGGGAATTGGAGTCCAAAATGGCGGGGGGGGGGGGGCAGAAGTTGTTTCAGGCATGATCTCAGGACTCCTCTTGTTTAGGGCATGATCCTAAATGTATATATCAACCACGCCTTGAATGCTTACCAAGAGAACTGTTTGAAAGACACCCTAAGGCCATGATGGTGAACCTATGACATGCATGTCAGCGCTGACACGCATGGCCATTTTTGATGACACGCAGCCACATGTGGCCGCATACAGAGAAGGACACCTTATAAGAGCCAATCTAATTGTAAAAGGCTCTACAAATTTAACATCTGCATGTTTGACCATTGTGCACCCCATAACTCAGCATGGAATATACATTTTTCTTATTTAAACTATAAATATTGCAAATTTATTTATTTATTTATTTATTTACTTCATTTGTTGACCGCCGCTCTCAGCCCTGGGGCGACTCGCGGCGGTGCACAACATATAAAAACAGTCTACAAAACATACAATATATCAACAACCAAATTACACATTAATCTAAATCACACTAATAGATCCGCGCCATCACAACATAGAATCATAGCCAATCTCATAATCCATAGTCCGTTCCAAATGTCATTACCAGATTCGTGTGGGTCTCAATTAAATGCCTTCTCGAATAGCCAGGTCTTTAAGCTCTTACGAAAAGCCATAAGGGAGGGCGCCTGTCTGATGTCAACAGGGAGGGTGTTCCACAGCCGGGGGGCCACCACTGAGAAGGCCCTCTCTCTCGTCCCCGCCAGACGTGCCTGTGATTATGGGGTTTTTTTCCTTGAAGTTGACACCCCACCCAAGTTATGCTCAGGTTTTTGGCAAATTTTGATACACCAAGTTCAAAAGGTTGCTCATCACTGCCCTAAGGTCTCTCTCTCTCTCTCTCTCTCTCTCTTTCTCTCTCTCTTTCCTTCCTTCCTTCCTTCCTTCCTTCCTTCCTTCCTTCCTTCCTTCCTTCCTTCCTTCCTTCCTTCCTTCCTTCCTTCCTTCCTTCCTTCCTGCCTCCAGGTTCAACCGCAATGGGCACCTGAAGTTCCACATGCAGCGCCTGCACCGGGCAGAAGGGACGCCCTCGGCCGATCCGCCCCCCGCCTCTGCCCCCCAGACCATCATCCTGAGCAGCGAGGAGGAGGCCTTGGCCACCCTACAGAGTGAGCAGGACCTCGCGCTCCCTTCTTTTGCCAAAGATGGGGCTGGGAAGGGGAGGGGAGGCCTTTTGGGTTCCTCTAGCAAAGGACAACTGATGCCGGAACGTTAGGCATTCTGAGCAGAGTAGAGAGACAAAAGGAGGTTGCCGCACTTTCGTAGAAGAGTCTTATATCTCTGTTGCAACACAGGGTAGCTTTCACCTTGCTCCAGACACCACCGCACCAAAGCTGTAGGTTTTGTAGTTTATGGAGAAAAAGGCAACATCAAAACAAAGTATAAGAAACGCAAAAGTTCCATAGGCAAGGCAAAGGCTTAAATGCAAAGACAAAGTTCCCAAGATCCAAAGGCAAAAACATGAAGCATAATCCTTTAGCAATGGTCAAACAAGAGTCCATGGAACACAGTTGAAAACAAGGCCCAAATCCCAGACACAGGAAGCCAGAAGCGTGCTGCTAAAAGCCAAAGTTAATCCACAAAAGTTTGCATGGGAAGAGCTATGTTGGCCTGACAACCCCTGCTTGTCAGCTACAAGGCTAAATACCCTTTGCAGACATGAATGCATTGCGTTGACCTTTGGCACCCTTGGCTTCTCGCTTGCTAACCAAGCGAGTGCTTCCCTGGAGCCTTAATTGCAGACTGCTCATTAATTCATTATCTTCAAGGCTATGTAACCCCTTATCTTGGTCCAGCTGGACCAAATCACTGTGGGGAGGAAAAGACGTCTCCATCTGGCTGTGTGGGAATTCCCTCTTGTTAGTTAGTTAGTTAGTTAGTTAGTTAGTTAGGAAAGGAATGTTAGTCTCACTAACATTCCTTTCCCCTGGGAACTGGCTTGCTGTTTCTCCTTCAGCAGCCCCACCGTCAGGCCTGTCTGAAGCACTCACTCTGTAGATGCTCCTTCACTTGCTGCAATGTCCGCCTCCTCCCCTGCCCCCAAATCCTCACCCCAAGTGCTAGGCTCACAGCCGTTCTCTGAGCAAGTACTCAGATGCAGTCTGGGATTATACGCAGAGAGTCAAACGGGGATAGCCAAGAGTCCATTTCATAGAATCATAGAATCAAAGAGTTGGAAGAGACCTCCTGGGCCATCCAGTCCAACCCCATTCTGCCAAGAAGCAGGAATATTGCATTCAAAGCCCCCCTGACAGATGGCCATCCAGCCTCTGTTTAAAAGCTTCCAAAGAAGGAGCCTCCACCACACTCTCCGGGGCAGAGAGTTCCACTGCTGAACGGCTCTCACAGTCAGGAAGTTCTTCCTCATGTTCAGATGGAATCTCTCTTGTAGTTTGAAGCCATTGTTCCATTGCGTCCTAGTCTCCAAGGGAAGCAGAATACAATCTTGCTCCCTCCTCCCCCCTGTGGCTTCCTCTCACATATTTATTATACATGGCCCTCATCATGTCTCCTCTCATCCTTCTCTTCTTCAGGCTAAACATGCCCAGCTCCTTAAGCCACTCCTCATAGGGCTTGTTCTCCAGACCCTTGATCATTTTAGTCGCCTCCTCTAGGCACATTCCAGCTTAGAGTCAATATCTCTCTTGAATTGTGGTGCCCAGAATTGGACACAATATTCCAGGTAACGTGGTCTAACCAAGGCGGAATAGAGCATGGGGAGCAGGACTTCCCTGGATTCTAGACACTAGGCTCCTCTTGAGGCAGGCCACAATCCCATTGGCTTTTTTTGCCGCCACATGACATTGTCAGTAACATAGAAGCTCACCAAAGTTCAAAATTAGTCTAAATCAGAATCAAGACATGTATCATAGAATCCAAGAGTTGGAAGAGACCTCCTGGGCCATCCAGTCCAACCCCATTCTGCCAAGAAGCAGGAATATTGCATTCAAAGCACCCCTGATGTAGTTCAAAGTCCAAACACAAAGTCAACCAACAAGGTACCAGTTGTAGCTCGGTCCACAACGTTGCTCTCGGCAAGGAGCTATTGAAGCCACCAGCTATTTATGCTGCCCAATAAAGCCCTCCCAGCAGAGAGTCCCTCTTCTCAGTCAGCTGTTTGGACCTTCTCAGCTGGATGGCCTCAACCCTTAGCTGGAGCCGGGCAGGAAGGGTGAGCTCCTGTGCTTCCCCCTGAAGAGCCTGATCCTGCCCTGTTTCCTCCAAGCCTTGAGGGGTCTGCTCCCGATCAGTGTTTGTGAGCTCCAAAGTGTCAGGTTACTCAGGTGGTTGCCCCTAATTCAGTTACTGGGAGAGAACTCTCTAACCCATCATCCTCATCCTCCACCAAGGTCCTGACACTAAAGCCACGGGGCAGGGGAATAGGAACATTGCTTGATCCAAGCCATGGCAGCTCCCCGATCCCTTTCCTTGCCTTGGGGAGATGTTCTGCTTCTGGACATTCCCTTCCGACTGACCGCCCGTCTCTTTCCTCCCCCCCCCCCCCCCAGGTGCCCTGCAGTCCGGCCAAGCCGTCCTGGCCCCCGACCGGCTCCAGCAAGCCCTGGGCCAGGAGCACATCATCATGACGCAGGAGCCCAGCCCCAACGGACAGGTAAGCGCTGCCGGAACATCAACGCAGAGCAGAGACAGGTTCTCCATCAGGTCAGGCACGGGCAAGCTTGGGCCCTCCAGATGTTGGGACTTCAACTCCAAAACTGGGTGTTAGGAATTGTGGGACTTGGAGTCCAAAACTCCTGGAAGGGGGGGACGGGGACGACAAGTTGGTCAAGTTGGTCCATGCCTGACTTGGAGCCTCTTCTCAAATCCTCCCATTCCCTCCTCCCTCCATCTTCCTTTTGATCTTTCTTAAAACTTTGTAATAATAATAATAATAATAATAATATAGGTAAAGGTAAAGGTAGTCCCCTGACATTAAGTCCAGTCATGTCTGACTCTGGGACTCTGGTGCTCATTTCAATTTCTAAGCCGAAGAGCCGGCGTTGTCCATAGATACCTCCAAAGTCATGTGGCCAGCATGACTGCATGGAGCGCCCTTACCTTCCCGCCAGAGCGGTACCTATTGATCTACTCACATATGCATGTTTTCGAACTGCTAGGTTGGCAGAAGCTAGGGCTGACAGAGGAAGCTCACGCCGCTCCCCGGAATCGAACCTGCGACCTTTCAGTCAACAAGCTCAGCAGCTCAGAGCTTTAACCCACTGCGCCACCGAGGGCTCCAATTATTATTATTATTATTATTATTATTATTATTATTATTGTTATTATTTATACCGTGCCACCATCTCCCCAAAGGGGACTCGGGGTGGCTAACATGAGGCTGAGCCCAAAAATAATACAACAAAATAATATACAAAACAATAAAAAATTACTAGGTTCTTGTGGGTTTTTTCAGGCTATATGGCCATGTTCTAGAGGCATTCTCTCCTGACGTTTTGCCTGCATCTATGGCAAGCATCCTCAGAGGTTGTGAGGTCTGTTGGAACTAGGAAGAAGGTTTATATATCTGTGGAATGACCAGGGTGGAACAAAGGACTCTTGTCTGCTGGAGCTAGGTGTGAATGTTTCAACTGACCACCTTCATTAGCATTAGAAGGCCTGGCTGAGCCTGGGAGAATTTTTTGTTGAGAGGTGTTAAGATGTGCCTGGTTGTTTCCTCTCTGCTGTTTTGCTGTTGTAATTTTAGAGTTTTTTAATACTGGTAGCCAGATTTTGTTCATTTTCATGGTCTCTTCCTTTCTGTTGGAAAATGAACAAAATCTGGCTACCAATATTAAAAAACTCTAAAATTACAACAGCAAAACAGCAGAGAGGAAACAACCAGGCACATCTTAACACCTCTCAACAAAAGTTTCCCAGGCTCAGCCAGGCCTTCAAATGCTAATGAAGGTGGTCAGTTGAAACATTCACACCTAGCTCCAGCAGAGAAGAGCTCTTTGCCCCACCCCAGCCATTCCACAGATATATAAACCCATTGTCCTAATTCCAACAGACCTCACTACCTCTGAGGATGCTTGCCATAGATGCAGGCGAAACGTCAGGAGAGAATGCCTCTAGAACATGGCTCTATAGCCCGAAAAAACCCACAAGGACCTAATGATTCCTGCCATGAAAGCCTTCGACAATACAATAAAAAAATTAAACACAACAAAATACATAATACAACAAAATAAAATAGACAATGCAAATGTGCGGGCCAAATGTGCAAGATAAAATGTTAAAAACGTCAAATCCCTGGGTGAGACAGGAAGTAGAAAGAGTGTGTTTGTAAAGGAGGAGCCCGAGACGGGGACGTGGTGGGGTTTGGGCTTCATGAGGGGAAGGGGAAAGTGCACACGCACACAGGACCACTGCACACACACCCACATACACACACACACACCCCGATCCCCTAAAAGCGCTGTTTCCCTTTGGCAGGAGGAGGCCACCTACATCCAGGAGATCATGACAACGGCAGATGGGCAGATGGTGCAGCACCTGGTGACCGCGGAGAATCAGGTATGGATGCATGGGAGGGGGGGGGGGGCTTTGGGGCTTGTGCCAAAACAACACTTGCACTGGGAGGGGGGCAGAGGGGGTCACAAAAAGCCATTGGCCTGGACCACCTGAGTCCCCTTAGGGGTGAGAAAAGCCGTATATAAATGCTGTAAATAATAATAATGTGCCCCCTTCCTTCCTTCCTTCCTTCCTTCCTTCCTTCCTTCCTTCCTTCCTTCCTTCCTTCCTTCCTTCCTTCCTTCCTTCCTTCCTTCCTTCCTCCTGATGGCTGGATGGCCATCTGTCAGGGGTGCTTTGAATGCAACATTCCTGCTTCTTGGCAGAATGGGGTTGGACTGGATGGCCCATGAGGTCTCTTCCAACTCTTTGATTCTGTGATTCTATGATTCTATCCTTCCCTCCCAAGGTCCAGTACATCATCACCCAGGACGGCGTCCAGCCCCTCCTCCCCCACGAGTACGTCGTCCTGCCGGAGGGGCACCACCTGCAGGTGAGACCCAGGCCCCCAAAGAGGCCTTCTCACACACACACACACGCACACACCTTCCCCTAACAGGGAACACGGTCTTGGCAATCAGACACGCCATGCGCAGAGAAGGAAGGGGTGGCTCTGGGCTTGGAAACAGTCCGCGCAAAAGGGATCCGGGATCCGGAAGTGTGATGCGGCAGCGAAAAAGGCCAAAGCCATTCTAGGCTGGGTTGTTGTAGGTTTTTTCAGTCTATATGGCCATGGTCTAGAGGCATTTTCTCCTGACGTTTCGCCTGCATCTATGGCAAGCATCCTCAGAGATAGTGAGGTCTGTTGGAAACTAGGAAAATGGGTTTATATATCTGTGGAATGACAAAGGACTCTTGTCTGCTGGAGCAAGGTATGAATGTATTGTCGAAGGCTTTCATGGCTGGAATCACTAGGTTCTTGTGGGTTTTTCGGGCTGTATGGCCATGTTCTGGAGGCATTCTCTCCTGACGTTTCGCCTGCATCTATGGCAAGCATCCTCAGAGGGAGTGAGGTCTGTTGGAACTAGGAAAATGGGTTTATATATCTGTGGAATGACCAGGGTGGGACAAAGGACTCTTGTCCTCTGGAGCTATGGGTGAATGTTTCCACTCACCACCTGACAGTGCCTGGAGCAAACCTACATCAACCCAGTGATCCCAGCCATGAAAGCCTTCAACCATTCTAGGCTGCATCTCAATGTGAGGGAAGTCCCGATCCCGCTCTCTTCTTCTGCTTTGGCCATCCCTCTGGGCCTGGCCTCATCACCCTGGGTCCTGCTCTGGGCAAAACCATCCAAGGGCTGTATGGACAGGAAGGAAGGTGACCTCAGGTTTAGGGAATCTTTGAATGATGCTCAATGTGATTGGGTTGTTGTAGGTTTTTTCGGGCTATATGGCCATATTCTAGGGGCATTCTCTCCTGACGTTTCACCTGCATCTAAGGATGCTTGCCATAGATGCAGGCGAAACATCAGGAGAGAATGCCTCTAAAACAATGGCCACATAACCCGAAAAAACCTACAACAACCCAGTGATTCCGGCCATGAAAGCCTTCGACAACTCATTGTGATTTATTAATCTGTTCAATTTTTGATATGTATCATTTGTTATTTGTTTCCTGTGCTTTGTGATGTTTTTCTTGGGGGGCTTTGGGCTTTATTTCCAATTTTAACTCAGAGGCATCTGAGTTTATTTCCAATTTTAACTCAGATGTCAGAGGCATCTGCTGCTACCTGGGAGTCCCATGGAGCCTCCTTCCTTCTCTGAAGGTTTTAGCAGAGGCTGGGTGGCCATCTCTGGGGAGGGCTTGAATGGTACCTTCTTCAATATCTGGAGGAGGCTGGACCGGATGTTCCTTGGGGGCCCATGACTCTGTTATTCTGCACTCCCCCCCCCACACCACCCCTCCTTGCCCCCTGCTTAACACCCCTTCTTGCCTTTCCAGGTGCAGGAGGGGCAGATCACCCACATCCAGTACGAGCAAAGCGGGGCCTTTGTGCAGGAGCCCCAGGTAGGAGGGGAGGGGCAACATGGGGAGGGGCTTTTGCTTTCCCTCCACAGCCCAGGTGCGCTGGGCAGGGATTCCGGGAGGCAAAGGCACAGGCCTGGCCCCTTCTGGGACCCATGTTGCTGCCCCCTAAACAGCCCCCCCCCCTCTGCACCCCTGCAGATCCAGTATGTGCCGGTCTCGCCAGGGCAGCAGCAGCAGGTGGTCAGCCAGGCCCAGCTGGAGGCGGCCGCTCACTCGGCGGTGACAGGTAGGTGTACAAGCAGAGGGAGAGAGGCGGGAGGGCGCACCTGCCTCCAGGTGGACAGGCATTTGCTCAAGTTTGCGGGAAGGATCTCTCTCTGGAAAAGGGAGGAAACAGTGAGGGAGAAGCCCAGCTGTTATGACATGAACAAATACCTTTCTCCTATTCTCCCTGAAAGTTCAGTGGGGTCTCTTTCCTTCTCTGGATGTTTTTGAGCAGAGGCTGGATGTCCATCTGTCAGGAGGGATTGGAGGATGTCTTCCTGCCTGACTGGGTGGCCCTTGGGGTCTCTTCCTACTCTAAGATTGAACAGTAGTAGTAGTAGTAGTAGTAGTAGTAGTAGTAATAACAACAAATCAAATGTCATCAAATGTCTAGATGTCATTCGGGTTTGTGAAAATATTAGCAAGTTCACTGAAAATGCAATGGAAAACTGACTCCTAACTCTGAGGTAGTCGACAATTCTATGGTTTTTCACTTGTCTGGAGATCTCTATGCCTTCCAGCACAACTCTGTGGTCACCTTTGGCCAGGGGCTGACCAACACAGAATCCTGCTGAAGGAACATAGATGCAGAGAGACACATTCTGTCTCAGAATCTTTAGGTCATGCATGGGCCAACTTGGGCCCTCCCTCCAGGTGTTTTGGACCCCAACTCCCACCATTCCTTACAGCCTCAGACCCCCTTCCTTTTTCTTAAGCGGCTGAGGGGGAAAAGGAAAGGGCCTGAGGCTGTTAAGAATGGTGGGAGTTGGAGTCCAAAACACCAGGAGAAGGTCTGAAGTTGGCTCAGGCCTGCACCTCTCTCCGCTCCTAATCAATAATCACGTCCTCCCTTTTCCCAGCAGTGGCCGATGCAGCCATGGCCCACACCCCGTTCGGCACGGATCCCACCGCGGACCAGATCCACCAGCTGCAGCCGGGCGTCCACTACGACATCATCACTTTGGGGGAGTAGCAAGGTCACCCCTTTGCGGGAGCTGCACCAGAAGAGGACCTCGCGATGGATGGACGCGCCCGGCCTTCTTTGTGGCGTTTGCTCAGCACGTGTCTTTGCAACGGAGCCTTTGGACCGGACTCGGAAACACAGTGGACATTGTGCCTGGACAAGGACCCTCCTCTGGGGGCATGGGGGTGGGCTTCCCAATAAATAGCAAATTATCATTAAGCAAGAAGCCCCTTCTGTTGCCCGCCCGCTCCCCCTTGACACGCCCCCCCCCATGCTCTCTGCTCAGGTGACCTTGACTCAGGCCGTGCCCTCCAGCTGTGCCCCCCCCCCCGATGCTCCCCTCGTGTCTGTGTCCGGAATTAATCTCCAAACAGGGCAAATCCCGTGTAACCCTCGGCCAGAACAACCGCTGCCTCCTGAGCCGGTGTCTTGGCCGGGCGCTTACACGGGCTTATCACGGCTAATCTGGGGCTTTGGAGCAGGACACCCCCCCCCCCCGCATTACCGTGATTATTATTCTCTTGGAGGGAAACAACATCCACAGATGCCCAGGAGGACGGAGGCAGACACCCCCCCCCCCCACTTGCCCTGGACACCACACCTGATATCAAGGCTTCCCAGGTGGGTCATGGGCTCAGAGAGTTGGAAGGGACGGCAGGAAGACACAGTCCAAGCCCTCTGGGTGTTTTTGAGCAGAGGCTGGATGTCCATCTGTCAGGAGGGATTGGAGGATGGCCCTTGGGGTCTCTTCTTACTCTAAGATTGAACAGTAGTACTAGTAGTAGTAACAAATCAAGTGTCATCAAATGTCTAGATGTCATTGGGGTTTGTGAAAATATTAGCAAGTTCGCCTCCCAACAGACGGCCATCCAGACTCTGCTTCAATACTGACAAAGGAGGAAACTGCAATAGACTCTCTAATGCTGTAAGAGACCCCCAGAGGCCATCCAGTCCATCCTCTTTTGCCAAGCAGGAACACACCACCAAAGCCCTCCCAACAGACGGCCACCCACTCTCTGCTTATAAACACCCAGAGGAGGAGGCTGCACCAGACTCCCAGGCAGAAGTGTATTCCACACTTGAATTTTGCCAAAGGAGGAGATTCCACTAAGGGACCCCCAAAGGCCATTTGGTCCAGCCTCTTCCGCCAAGCAGGAAGGCACCACCAAAGCCCTCCCAACAGACAGCCATCTGGACACTGCTTGAATACTGCCAAAGGAGGAGATCCCACTAGACTCCCCATGTGCTGCAAGGGACCCCCAAAGGCTATCCAGTCCAGCCTCTTCCAAGCAAGAAGGCACCACCAAAGCCCTCCCAACAGACGGCCATCCAAACTCTGCTTGAATACTGCTAAAGAAGGTGATCCCACTAGACTCCCCATGTGCTGCAAGGGAACCCCAAGGGCTATCCAGTCCAGCCTCTCTGCCAAGCAGGAAGGCACCACCAAAGCCCTCCCAACAGACGGCCATCCAGATACTGCTTGAATACCGCCAAAGGAGGAGATACCACTAGACTCCCTAAGTAAGGGACCCCCAGAGGCCATCCAGTCCACCCTATTCCGCCAAGCAGGAAGGCACCAATAAAGCCCTCCCAACAGACGGCCACCCACTCTCTGCTTATAAACACCCAGAGGAGGAGGCTGCACCAGACTCGGAGGCAGATGCATATTCCAGAATCATCATTCCAGGTGAGAAGGGCTGACCAATGCAAAAGAGAGGAGCACTACAACTTTCCTCTGCTTGGACACTATACTCTCCTATGGATGCAGCCTAGAACCGCTGTAGCATCACAGATAGAATCATAGAATGATTTAATTGGAAGAGACGCCAAGGGCCATCTAGTCCAACCCCCTGCCAAGAAGCAGGAATATTGCATTCAAATCACCCATCATGCAGGAAAAGCTCATCTGAAGCACCCCTGACAGATGGCCACCCAGCCTCTGTTTCAAAGCTTCCAAGGGAGGAGCTTCCACTAGACTCCGAGGCAGAGAGTTCCACTGCTGAACAGCTCTCCTTGCAGTCATGAAGGTCTTCCTCATGTTCAGGTGCGACCTCCTTTCCTGCTGTTGAGTTCTAGCTTCTTGGGCAGCGGAAAGGAAGCCCCCTCCCTCTCCTTCACATGTTTGGACATGGTTCTCCTCACCTCTTGACCTTCTTTTCTTGACCTTCTTTTCTGGAGGAGCTGGACATGCCCAGCTCCTTCAAGTCAACACTGCTGGCGTACACTCTGCTTGCCTTCTCCTGAGGCTCTTGGACCCCATTCAGAAGTCCACGTCCCCCTCCTCGGAGGCCAAGGAGCTTTGGGGGTCATTAGGGCTGTTGGCCCCATAACCAGGGAAGGGGGCTGTAGTGGGGGAAGGAGGGAGGGAGGGAGCGCAGGTCTGTCCGAATGTAGGGCGCCCGCCTGCCTCCCTCTTGGGGGGCCATTGGGCTCCAGCTGTGCACCCAAGCATTAGAGGGAGGGGGTGAGGCAGGGGCATTAGGGAAAGCCCCAGCTGTGCCCGACCGACCGGCCTCTAGATTACAGGCCATTATCTAATAAAGCGGATCCCGCAAGTCCTCCGGGGACAAGGTCGTGGAAACCAGATGTGCGCGGCTGGAGTCTCCGGCCAGAGTCCCTTTCTTGGCATTCCCAGGGAAGCGGAGCCATCACAGGGAGGGTGCCTCGGCCTGCAACTCTTTCCCTAAGGAGGAAGGAATGAAGGCAGCACCCAAGGGCCCAGCTGTGGTCCACTCTGCTCGACCCCAAGGTCTACATCAAGCCTGTGGCTCCAGCCGGGCTGTGGGGCCAGTGCCCAAAGCATTGTGGTCGGTGCATGCCTGTTGCCTCCCAGAGCAGGAACATCTCTTTTTTTATTATTATTATTAAATTTTTATTGATTTATCACAATTATTACATACTATTGCATTTTATACAT